GGCATGCAGCCGGGTGGGTGTATGTTCATTTCCTATTGGGGCTGTATCAACTGACCACAAACTCAGAGGCTTAAAACAACACCAATTTATTCTTACAGTTCTAGAGGTCAGAAGTCCAGAGTGGTTTTCACAGGGCTAATGTCATGTCAGGGGGCTGCATTTCTTGGTGGAAGTTCTAAAGAAAGTTTTCTGCCTTTCCCAGCTTCTCCATGCCACCTGCATCCCTTGACAAATGGCCCTTTCTTCCATCTCTGCAGCCAGTGGCATGAAATCCTCCCCTCTCTCTTGCTGACCCTCATGACTTCGCTCTTTTACTCATAAATTCCACTGTGATTACATTGGGCTCACCTCAATAATTCAGGGTAATCTCTCTTCTCCAAATTAACTTTATCACATGTCCAAGTCCCTTTGCCATGTAAGGTAACATTCACAGGTTCTGGAGTTCAGGACACAGTTAACTTTGGGGGCCATTATTCTGCCCAATTCACATCAGTGAGGTGGATTCAGGAGGCTATAAGGGGAAGGTGAAGTCAATTTTGGATAGCTGGAGTCTGAGGCGCCCATAGACATCCAGAGAGAATTACCCTTAGCTTCCACATATTCATCAAATACTGACTAGGCACCTCTTAGGAGCCTAGTATTCTTAGGAGAATACTATTTCTTACAGTTTAAGAGACCTGCTTTTCACTTCTGAAAATTTTTTAAATCAATTACCTTTTAATCAATGACACAACTGTAACTGGCATCTTTTCTTTCTTATTGACACTCAAAATATCCTACTGCCAATGGTTTCTTGGAGCCAAGGAAATTCTGATCTCAGCTGACACTGGAGGAGGCCTTATAGTACAAGTTGGAGTGCTTGAGAGACTATTAAGTGGGCTGTGGCTCAGTGGCAGAGCATGTGCCTAGTAATGTGGCCCTGAGTTCAATGCCCCAGCTTCATGGGCAGAGGCAAGCCAGTATCCCCATCCAGTCTGGCCCCTATCTTTTCTAACTCTTAGCCAGGTTCTTGCTACCCTGGGGCTCCTTTTTATCCTGTGCTCTGGTGCTCAGATCCCTTGCAATTAACAGACTCCATCAGAGTGACACAATGCTCAGCTCTGCTGCCCCATCAGGGTGGAGGAACTGGCCTCTCTCCAAGTATGCCTCAGTCAAGGAGTCAGGCCTGGTGGTTGTCAGCTGAATGAAAACTTCTAAAAGACCAATCACCTAGGCTACAGGCCATCTCAATCAGTATCTTGGAGGAGAAGTGTTTTACAACTCCCCAATAAATTCCAATGGGCAGCCAAGGTGGAAAAATGGAAAATCAATCTAAAGTTCTTTCAAGTGAGGTGAGGTATAAGGCAGCACTGGTGGGGGTGAGGTCATTATATCCAGGCAGTAGAGTGATACCTGTCTCCTCCCACCAGCCCAGTTATCTGTTTTCTCTAAGTACTAGTCCCGGGCAAGACATATGTGGGAGCCCAGGAAATGTAAGCTGTAGAGTCTCAAAGGCCAAGCAGAAAAGGCTTTGTGCCAAGAAAGGTCTGGGAAAGAAGCCCATTGGGTCTAGGCCAGCTTTCTGATTCACTGTATGACTTCCAGTAAGCTGTTGCCCCTCTCTGTGACTTTATAAAGCATGACTGGCCCAGGTGGACCTGAAAGGCCCTATAAGTGTCACACAGTACACAGTTCACACTTCACCCAAGTGCAGTGAGAACTGCTACAAAAGATAGAGGAATCAGATTAGGAAAGGTATTGGTGCTTACCTCTGGGACTCTAGATGATCCTGACCTACCCATCCCACTTCTGTCTGACATCTAAGGAGATCAAGTGGGAAGACAGTGTGTAAGACTTCCTGCTCACCTTCAATAGGGTTCCAAAGTCTTCCAGATATTCCCACCCCTCCAGGCCTAAAATCTCTGCTTCTGGGGCTTTATAACCTGGGAGATATAAGGACAGAGAATCTGAGGTCCTGAAAGTCAAAGACCTAAGAACAGCAGAACAGGACTCCCCAGAAAAGACAGGAGAATAGAGTGTGAGAGATTCTTACATGGTGAGCAGAGTCTGGGTAGGCCACAGGACACCTGAGAGGTACCAGTTCTGCCACTGAGGGTGGTAAACAAAGGTGAGATGGTCTAAGATATCAGAAACTTCCAAGGAGGAACTTCACGGAAGGAAACACTCAAGGACTGAAGTAAGGCCAAAGAGGCTATGGAAAAGGCCCCTGGCTTTTGGCCATTAGCACAGCCAAGGCCCTAATGCACACTCAACACTTTTATTGGGAAAGGGAAACTGAAAAGCAGCCTTCAATATCCTCACTGCTTGAGGCAGCTGGGCCACCTCCACCAAGTCCAGGAAAGAAGGGACCACCAAATTGGCCCTCAGCAGGCTCAGGTGTAGAGGTCAAAGTCAATGCGTTTGGAGTTATAGAACTGACCACCAGGGGGGTCCAGCTTCCGACAATAAACACCATCCGGGAAGTAGCCTTCATTCACCCAGGTCTGCAGGAAGAGAGGACAGAACTGGAGAATGTTGATAGGAGTCAGGGAAGGGAGGGACAAGGCAGAAGGAGGTAGGAGGGGCTTACCTGCATCTGGGCACTAGTAAAAGGCCCATATAGCTCGGCATCTCCTGTGTTCTCCCACTTATATTCCCACATCACATCCACCAGACCGTCTCCTGGTGATTCTGCTTCTAAAATAACAGGCAAAGCCATTTGGGCCTCAAGTGCCCTGCCTCCTGCCCACAACACCCCTCCTCTGCCCTTCAAGCTCACCTCCTTTCTGGGTAGGGGTCGGGGTCTCGAGCTCTCCCTCTGTTACTTCCTCAGCAAACATGTCCAGGGAGGGTATAGGTGTGGGGTCATGGGGTCCCTGAGTCCGGCACCCCAACCCCTTTAGCCGCATAGCCAATCGCTCCCTTGTTTCCTGGTATACACCAAGGTTGCCTCGGGCCACCATCTGGTCAGCCAACCCAGAGAGCCGGTCTAGGCGCTGGGGGGAACTGGGCCTCCCAGGCCCCTTGCTGCCCCCTTTGCCTCCTCCTCGGGCCCCCAGACGCCTGAGTGCCCCAGCCACTGTCTCTCTTGGCAAGAGTAGCTCCAAAAGTCCCTCCAGGAGGGCTTGGGCACTCATTGGTGTTTGTCCCAGGCCATCCTCCTCCTCTGAGTCTGAGGCCTGGCGCTGATCAGGTGGCCGCTCCCTGATTTTCACCTGTAATAGAAATTATTACCCACCAACTGCCACTGGGGGCCCAGGCCCAGACTTGCCACCCCCAGGCCTCAGCCATGCCAGCCCCTAGGCCACACCCAGTCAATGTTGTCCAGCCAGCTGTCACGGATCTGAGCATCCCGGTTCAAGAAGTAGTTGCCATCAGCATCAAAATGGCCTTCCTCCATCTCTTCCTGAAGGTTGAAAGGTGTGATCCGCACACCTCCTTCACTGGGGAGTGTGGCTGCTTCCTGACCTGGACCATAGATACAATTGCTCTATGCTATGTGTGTAAAAGACAGGAGCGCCCTTTGCTCCACACTCCAAAAGCCCCTACTTGTCCCTCCAACACAGTCAATTCTTGATATAGCTCACCTTCTACATCCTCGGACGCCAGAATGTCATATTTGCTGGATCCCTCTTCATCATCATCTTCCTCATCACTGTCCAAGGAGTGTTTGCCTTTGAAGCGGCTCCCAGGACCCCCTGCCCCAGCCACAGGGTCCACTAGCTGTAAGCAAGAATCAGCAAGTTAGAAATGCAGATTACTGGCTAATTACCCATATACTCCAGGATATGGTTCCAAGCTGAATATTTTCCAAACCTATTCCTCAAGAATGTGGAAAAACTTTTTTATTTTTTTTTGACATGTCTCACTCCCCAGTTCTTTCTCTTCAGGCTTTTAGTTCCTCTTTTCCCTTCATACCTCCCCAGAACACAAGAGTCTGGTCACCTCACCTTCTTCTTGGGAACACTGATTTCATCCTCCTCATCCTCATCGCCCACGCCCTGGAAGGTCACTTTCCTCTTTGGCATGACTGGGCAGAAGGACCTTTCTCCAGCTGAGCCAAAGGAAAGGATATGAAAGTAAGGGAACTGGGGGGGGGGGGGCTCACCGCGAGTGGCCCCCCGGCGCAAAAAAACAATTTTCAACGGCATATGCCAAGTCCCGTTTGGGAGGGGAGCGAGTACAGAATCAAGAGTTGAAAGGGAGCTGGCAGCCAGGGCGTCCCTTTGAAATTTGGTTTGGCTTCTGAAAGAGTTAGTGAGGCAGAAACAGAAGGACAGAAGCTCTAAGTATGCCCCTGTGGACTCCGTGGGGTCCCCCATGCTGGATGAAAGGAGCCAGGCTCCCCACGTCATCATCCCCATATCAGTCTAGCGCGACCGGGCTCGACTGTCTGGTGACACCCGGTCCCCACACCCGCAGCGTCCACAGAGCCCGGGCGGGCCCAGGACCTGACGCCCTAGTAGCCCCGTTCCTCCTCTCGTTGAACTCCTAATTCCACGCGGCGACTCCCCCACCAAAAACTAGTAGGCCAGCAGAGCCATAGGGATTCAGGCAGTCTCACCCGTTCGCGCTCACCTGGGAATCCAGGAGAAAAAGGGAAAAAAAGGAAAGATGCTTTGGCCAGGGATACATCCGGGGTATCGGCCTCTATCACCCGGAAGAGGACTGCGGAAGGCGCCAGAGGAGGCCGGAAGTGGCTTCACTCCAGTCAGTGGATTAACTGCAAGAGCGGGCGGAAGTGCTCGGTGAGCGAGGGAAGACACCCTCGCTGTCTTCCCCGCCAGAAGTGACGTAATCCGCGTGGCTGTAAAGACCAGAACAGTGGATATAAGAACGCCTAAACCGCGACCCGGCACGAGGGACGACCGGAAGAGACTTTGGTTCCCTCATGCAACAGGAGAGGCTCTGGAGAGAACGTAGAGCGCATTCTACTTACAGGGGCGCCTAGGGTCTGGATGGAGGGACAAGAGTCCGAGCAGGGACAGTGAGTTCCTGCTCAAGTTTAAATTTTTGCAGGCACAGTTCGAGTCGCCCTTCCCCCAGGACTCTGCGCCCCTCACCATTTCATTAGACACTCTGGCTTCCCACTCCTAATGTCCAGCTGTCAGTCTTCTCATAGTCTGAAAGCCGCGGCCTTGCTTTTGTCCCAGCGGAAGCCTTGCTCACCTAATGGCCCACCTGCGGGGCTTTAATGACCTTTGGGGTACTTTATGAACCTAGCTCCCTCTAGGACCCAGGGGAAGTCTTTTGCCCCACCCCTATTCCTTGGGCCAGTTCCTGGTTTCTTAGGTGAGAGAGCCATCATAGGAGAGGTGGCATTGGCACCGGTGCCCCGTCCCTGGACAGAAGTCCCCGTTGCTCTCCTCTCAGGTAGGCCTAGAAAAGGACAACAGTTGCTAACAGCAAGCCTGTAATTCCAGCGACACTGGAGGCTGAGGCAGGATTACAAGTTGAAGACCAGCCTGGGCAAATTAGCGAGACCTTGTCTCAAAAAAAAAAAAAAAAAAAAAGTGGGGATGTAGCTCCATGATAGAGTGCCTTGGGTTAAATTCCCAGTAACTACAGCTGCAGGAAGAAGCTCATCCCACCCCTTAGCTAACAAGGCCCGGTCACATCTGCCCAGGTGATTGGAATCTGGCCCCAAGAAGAGGTGGGAGGGATCTTGTCAGGACTACACCTGTTGCTATTGAGGACGGAGCCTCAATCTCCCTAGATTGTCCAGGCAGAGCCTTCTGCAACTAGAAAGCAGCATGAGGCTCCTTCCAGGCAAACCAGGTGGACCACTCCTCTCTCCCCAGGGTTTTCTCCGTATTGGATCACCATGAAACTACACCGAAAATCTGTGCTCAGTTTCTTCCATGAGTTCAGAACACAGGCACCAGACCAGGAGGGCATCTTGCTAAAGAAAGGAGCCCGAAACACCAGCTACCAGCGCCGCTGGTTTATCCTCCGGGGAAACCTCCTTTTCTACCTGGAACACCAGGCAGACCACACACCACTGGGCCTCATCCTGTTGGAGAACTGCCAAGTGGAGCCATGCCTTAAGGCCACTGAACCCTATGCCTTTACCATACTCACCCCAGGGATACAGAGTGCATGTGGGCGGGCCTACAAGCTAGCAGCAGAAAACCAGGAAGAGCTGGAGGCTTGGCTCTGTGCCCTGGCTGGGGTGAGCTGGAGGCGACTGGATGGGCTGCTATCCCTGCTGGAAGCCCAGTATCGGGAGCTGTGCCAGGCAGCTGGCCAAAAACCCAACTCACCCCTAAAGAACTGTGACTTTGTAGCTACTCTCAGTGCCCCCTCCTGCTTCCAGGAATTGCACGAGCGCTTTGGGAAGGAGATACGGATGCTGAAGGCAGTGCATAGAGGGCTCCAGGCCAGTGACAAAGGAGGCAGTAGAGCCCAAGCAAATCTGGAGCAGGAGCTTAACCAGTGTTTGTTGATCAGTGACTGAATGATGGACCAAAGGTCAGCAGACTGCTTCAGTAGAGACCCAGGTCCTGGCTCTCTCCTTCCTCCCTAATTCTTATCCCCCAAACCCCTTCATCAAATAACAAGGCGGGACACAGGCCCAGGTACAACAGCAGGTTCTTTTTCCGGTTCCTCAAAGCGTCGCACGGGATGGGAGATGAGACAGAGAGAATGTAAACATTGGATTCCACCCCTTGGAGCTCAAGGGAAGACCCCTTACTCAAGAGCTTGAGGGTTGGAAGGGAACAAGATGAAGGAGGGGGATCCTGGTAAGACAAAGCAGAGGCCTGAGAATATAAAGCAAGGTGGGTAAGGGAGGAGAGCAGGATGAGCGTGGGAGGGGAAGTGGGGGACATTTCCTATTTCAGTGCATGTCCCCTTAAATAAATTGGAGTGCAGGAGAACTGAAAGACAAAAGACAGAGCGAGCACCCCCATCCTGGGCCAACCCGGTCCTCTGTACATAATTACAACACAGAGATGTTCAGAAGTAGAATGAGGAGAGTCTTGGCCCCCAGAAAGGAAGTGGGGGAGACAGGCAAGGCCAAAGAAGGGAAAAGGAACCCAGCTCCACCTCATGAGTAAAGGGAGCCACTGGAGTGTAAGAATCTGCAGACTGCCAACTGCTATTGCCAAGAATCACCCTGTGGTGACTAGAGGCCAATCAGGACAGCACCTGGGAGGGGACCTCAGAGGGAACTGGCAGGAGTGACAGAGACCCCAGCTGGGTCTAACTGGAGGCAAGAGTCTCCAGACTTGGTCACAGCTGCCCCATGCACTGTGGCTGTCCTGGCTGTGTAGAGATCAGCAGCTGGCAAGGAGATGGGAAGTCAAGCCACTTTCCTCATAAAGAGGGACACCTGCTGTGGGGCTTGGGGAGCACCCCAGGCCAGGCCTTCTCTTGGCTGAGGGGAAAAGAGAGGGGCCATGCAGTCCAGCCCCAGGCAGAGGTCAGAAGTAAGCATCCTGCCGGGCTTCAGCTGCTGAGGACCTGTCCCCACCATCCTGGGGTGCTGGGGGCCCATCTGCCTTTCGACGCAGTGAAATCTTCCGGCCTTGGCCCTTCTTCTCTTGCTTCTGCCTTTCCTTCTCCTGTTTCTGTTGCTCCTTCTCCTGTTTCTGCCTCTCCTTCTCCTGCTTCTGCTGTTCTTTCTCCTGCTCTTTTTCCCACTTCTGCCGCTCCTTCTCCTGCTTCTCCCGCTCTTTCTCCTGTCTCTGCCGCTCCTTCTCACGCTCTTTCTCCTGTTTCTGCCGCTCCTTCTCCTGCCGCCTGGTTTCCTTGCTGGGACCCAGAGGGGTGCTGTTGCCAGTAGGTGAGGGAAGGGATGGATGCAGTCCCTCGGCAGTGACAACTGGCCCTGGGGCAGGCCCAGCACTGGCCCTGCGGGCAGGAGGGGGTGGGGAGGGGGCCCCTCCAGCTGCCCGGGAGCCTCGGCTCTTGAGGCCGGGGAGACTGAGTAGGCTGGAGGAGGGGCCTAAGGGTGGCTGTTGCCGCCTTCGCTCTTCATGGATGGCCCGGGAGCCATGTAGTCTCCGTGAAGGCCGATATTGTAGCTCTCCCCGGGTTTCCCTCCACTTCTTCAGCTGGGCTGCATTTTCTCGCTCAATTAGTGCTTCTGTCACTGGGAGGTTGGTTACCTAAACAAAGAGGAAATGGGTACCATAATGAAGATCATGGGAATGTGCTCAAGCAGGTAGGGGTGTGCTGAGGCTCAATTCCTACCTCGTGTACCAAGAAGTCCTCTTGCATGCACTGTTGGGGCAGGTTGCGCAGTTGCTCCATGGTTTCATACATGCCTTGGCAAGAACGCAGCTTCTCCACTGAGCCTAGTGTGTGTCGCAGCAAGACCAGGGCCACCCGGAAGATGATCTTAACACCTGCAAGATCAGAGAGAAGAACATGGGGGGACCAGGCCTGGGATCTCAGCCTGTCTCAATTATGAGGGACTTACAGACCCTATCTCTGTCTACTGTCAACCTTATAGATGAGGAAATTGAGGTTCCAAGAAGGGAAATGAGTTGCAATAGGTATTATATTCCTGGGAGGGAGAGCAGGCTCTAGGTTGGTAACTTAACCAAGACCAGGCCTGTTTTTCCAGGCTGGGGCAACAAGTTCCTTTTGTCCACGGTCTGCCAGAAATGTAACAGGACCATCTGGTAGCCACCATGCAAACCCCAGTTCCCTCATAAGCTTGGATGGCCATGGAAGTACCTTCACAGAAAAACATGTCCCAGACGCGAAGCACTGAAGCCCAAGGCAGGGTGCGGGCAAAGATGCACATGAACCATTCTGTCATGTAGAGCACGGGGTCAATGCGCTGTCGCCGTAGGTGCCGATGTGCCAGTGGGGAAGCCCGGCGCAAGAGTGCAAAAAAGATTTCTCCATCCAGCTGAATGGCCTCCTAGAGGTGGGAAGAGCCATGAGAAGAAGTCCAGCCTGCTATGGCACCCTTGAAGTAGAATCAACCCTGACAGGGGATCCTTACCTCAGTGTTAAGAGGCCCAGAGGAAGGGGATAAAAGGGCCAGGGTATGGAAGGGCAAGGAGCTCCCTGCAGCCTTAAGGAAAAGTGACAGCCCTGATGCACCCAGCCTCCAGAAACTCACCAGCCCTGCACTGTAGTAACCAGGAAGATACTTGTCACAGATCTGCACCAGGCACCAAAATGCTTGCTGAGAAGGGCAAAAATAAGGAGGGAGGAGTGGGGCCTAAGAGGCATGGAGTAGGCAGCTCCCCCATCACCTCTATAGGCCAAGATCCTCCCACCACCCAACCAGGACCACTGTGCTGACCTCAGCAGGCATGTGCATGAGCAGCACTGCAGCCACTGGGGCCTGGGCCTGGCAGTAGCCCTCGTCAGGCCGGTAGATGGTGTAGGCCTTCAGAATTCGGTACAGGTCCTGTTGCCTGTGGGGATTGCAGAGGATGGCAGCTGTAGGAGTTGGAAGCTCTGTCCAAAACCAAACCTACTCCCAACAATCCCAGCCCAGACCTCTCCTACATCCAGTTCCAGATGAACCTTATAGCTTTACCACCACATTCCTCTATCCACCTTCCAGCTTAAACCAAAGCTTCAGCCCACAATCAACATTCCAGGCACCAGCCTTCCACCCTCAGCTGCACACCCTACATGTTCTCTACTGATTCCCCAGCACAGGCTGTGTTCTCTCCATCTGCCACCAACCAATTTTCAAGGTCATTTTCTCCAGGAAGCATTCAACATCCACAGAATCAGCCTTCCTCTAGCACTATCTGAATGTTGTTTTTATCACCCCAGAACAGGAGCTCTCTTGAAGCAAGGCCTGCCTTATCCCATCACACTGGATGTCATCAACTCTCCTCTGCACACCCAGTAGGTCCTGGTTCTTGGTGCAGGCTTGGAAGCTAAGTGTGCCTCAGAACTTTCTCTTGTTTCTGCATCAAAAAATAATATCTCTATCCTATACCTGCTCCACTTCCTTACAGATGTCCCTTTGTATCTGGGAATTCCATCCCCTCACTGCTACATCAGAAAAGAGTCTTCCTTGTTCCCTATGGCTAAGTCACCAAGTCCGAGCAATGCTACATCCTGAATTCCATTCATGTCTGTTTTCTCTCTCTCCCTCCACCTCCACAGCCACTTCCAGCCTAGGCCTCCATCTCTTGCCCAGAAAAACGTAACAACCTCCCAGATCCTCTCACTGCCTCCAGTCTCACACATAGACCTAACACTGCCTATAATATCTTTGTCCCAAATCCAGTCATTCATGTATAACATTTGTCTTATCTGCATAGCACTCCTACTATTTAATATTTTTTCTCTACTTTGCAAAAGCAACCATGAAATGACAAGTTTGATATGGATATTTTACCTAATACATATTAAAATAAACACAGAACTTCCACAAGCGCCCACTCTATACCCACCCACCTGCCTGCTTCTGTGTCCCTGCCTTCTCCCCTGTTGCTATGGGTAAATTGTCTGTGATCCTGGCCAAGCACAGCCTTTCCAGTTGGGTTCTGGATCCCACCCCCATTCGCCTACACAAGCCATCAATCCAGCAACACTGCCATCTCTCCTGCATCATCAATTTTTCTCTCACTACTGAACCATTCCCATTGACATACCAACATGCTATTATTTCTTCTTGTTTAAAAACTGTCCCTTGACCACACTGTCCCTCCTAATAGCACACTATTTTTTTTTTCCTTACCTAGTCAGCAAGACAGACTGTCTTCAATTCCCACCTCCAATCCTCTCTGCAGGCTTTTACCCACTGCTGCATGAAAAACTGCTTCTATCAAGTCACTAATGACCTATATAGTATTAATGACCTGGATAGGTCAATTTTTAGGCTTGACTTACTTGACCCCTTGACAGCATTCCCACAGCAGATCCTTGAAACCCTTCTTCACTTTGCTTCCAGGAATCACACTTTCCCAGGTTTCTTCCTGCCTCTCTAGCTTCATGTTCCGGTCTCCTTTACTGCTTCTTTCTCATCTTTCCATTTTCAAAAACACTGGAGCTTCTGAGCTCAATTCTTGGACCATTTCCTTTTGCATCTACACTTGCAGCCTTGGTGACCTCATCCAATCCCATGGGTAAGAGCCAGTCCCTCTCCATAAGATAATACTCTCAATTTCCAATTTATCTCCAGTTTAAACTTCTCCTCTGAGGCCGGGCATGGTGGCCCACACCTGTAATCCCAGCAGCTTGGGAGGCTGAGGCAGGAGAATTGCAAGTTCAAAGCCAGCCTCAGCAATTTAGCAAGGCCCTAAGCAACTCAACAAGACCCTTTCTCTAAATTAAATATAAAAAAGGGCATTGGTTAAGCACCCCAGTACCAATAAATAAATAAACTTCTCCCCTGAAATCCAGACTTGTATAGACTATAGATCCAATTTAAAACTCCATCTGGGTGTCCAATGAGTATTTTAAAATTAACATTCCAAAACTGAGCTCCTAATATGCCCCCAAACCTATGTTTCCTCCAGTTTTCCCCATCCATGCTAGTCAATAGCAGCTTCATTCTTGGAGTCTCTCAGGCCAAAAACCAAGTGAGTACCCTTAACTCCTCTCTCACACATCACATTTAATCATTAACAAATCCTTTTGATTCTACCTTCAAAATAGATC